CAAGGAAAACGATTGATGGTTCTCTTCTCCTCCTTCCCCCCCAAACTCTTACTCTTCCTGTTTCTAAATCCTTGGAGAGTGGTTGTTTCTGTGTTACGTTGGTTGTGACATTCAAAATTCTATACTGAGGCTCTGCTCCAGTTCTGATGAGTTTGTGAGCTCCATATGAAAATGCTTATTCGTGACTCTGATGAAGACTGGAAATCTGATCTAACCTGGGAAACAGGTTAGTCTGCAAGAAAGCCACACAGTCTATTGGAAGAGTTGTATATGCTTGCTGGTGAATTGTTATTTGTGGAACACAGAAGTTTCAAGTGGCCTTGATGCCACTATTCCCCCCGAAAAAAAGATTTACCAGTTGAATTGAGCAAGTCACTATTTTTTCAGAAGACTTACCTGTTGAATTGAGTTACCTTTATGATTTGGATTTAGCTTTGTAATTTATGTGTTTAGTTGTCTGACGTGGTGTTGTACATGTTTAAAGTGCACTTTGGAAGTTTCATTCTAGTAGAAGATTCTTGAAGTATATAAATCTAATGACATGTGAATTTGTAATAGTCTGTATTTGGTTCACGCATTGTTTATAAGTGAATCTTCACAGTATTTTTGCCATTTGTGGATTGGCATCCAGCATGACAACACTAAATATCTGTAATTGTAAAGCTTTGTTTGGGCCTCGAGCTCACAGTGCATTTCTCTTGTAGCCATCCGCATTGCTAATTAATTGCCCACCCTTTAGTTAGAATGGCTAACGCTGGTTTCAGCTGCACATTTTTTTCCCCCCTTTCCCATCTTGCATCACTCTCAGTTAATCCACGCGGTGCATCAACCATGTTTGTCTTTCCTTCCAGTGGCTGTGACATCCCGTCCTGATTGCTACTGGGGGCGCAACTGCCGGACTCAGGTCAAAGCACACCACGCCATGTGAGTTGTTTGCCCCTGGCCCCACCACCCTTGGAACATGAAACAGTTTTTGGAGTAAGGAGAGGTGACCACCCCCAGGCCTGTGTACCAGACAGCGGCACATCCTCGGCATGGGTGGGTGGAGGGGACCAAAGCAAGGCCCTACTGCACTGGCAACCACTGGTGGAGTTGTGCTGACTCCCAGCATGTGTGGCCAAGCAGAACCCTCTTCTCTCCCCCATCATATTGGCTTGCCAGCACACTAACCTCTTCTCAGTTAAGGCCCTGTATGGGGTGGGGGTTGGTGGGTATTTGTGTGTGTGCCTGGAAGTCATGGTTGACTTCTGGTGACGCCTAGTGGGGCTTGGATGTTAAGAGGTGGCATTCAGAGAGCCAGTTCAGAGGTGACATTCAGGGAGCCAGTTTGGTGTAGTGGTTAGGAGCACAGACTCTAATCTGGGAGAACCGGATTTGATTCCCCACTCTTCCACATGCAGCTGCCGGTATGACCTTGGGTCAGTCACAGTTCTCTCAGAGCTCTCTCAGCCCCACCTACCTCACAGAGTGTCTGTTGTGGGGAAGGGAAGGGAAAGGAGATTGTAAGCCACTCTGAGACTTCTTCGGGTAGTATAATCCAGTCTCCTCCCCCTCCTCCTCTTGCCTGCCTCTGCCTCCCAGCCCTGGTATTCCTTGGAGCTATTCCTGCCTCCCATCCAAGTACTTGGCAGGATCGCCCCTGCTTAGCTTCTGAGATCTGATGAGATCAGGCTTGCCTGGGCACAATCCAAAACAGTTGCCTCCCACTGTTTAAAAAGTTCCCACATTCCTCTCTGTTCCCGCAACTTTTTCTAGCTCCCAGAAAGATCACTCCTGGGCTCGTGAGATCTGTGCAGAGGAAATAGCCATGTGGGTCGGTCAAGGGCTGGAGTGCAGAGGAAATCGTCCCCTTTCCTCAGTGCAGCTCAACTTGTGGAAGAGGAAGGTGGAACAATTTAATACCCTTGTCGTTGGTCGCTCCAGCCCACACCACTGTTCCCTGTGTGGGTCCTGCGACTCTGGGAATGATGGTTCCAGGGGCTGGAAAAGGGGCTTCAGGAACACAAAGGGAAATTCGACATTGCATGCACAGATATAGTAAAAGACAAGCCACTGGATTTCTATATTACTAACAGATCTTGCTTTCGGTGAGGGGAGTTGGGTGGTTGGGTGAATACACACATGTTTCCCTAACTGTGAAATTTAGCGACACTAGTTTTACAGGTTCACCTCAAGTGGCCTGCCATGCAACCCTTTTAACTTTGTTCACTTTTTTGTTTGTTGTTTCAGGAAATTCAATCACATTTGTGAACAGACCCGATTCAAAAACTGAAGGTGGCTTCGGGGAAACTGAAACGAACCCGGTTCTTTCAACCTGCTAGAAGGGAAAAGAGAGGAAAAGAAGGGGAAATTAAACTTGAAAAGCTGACTTTGCAGTAATTGCTCCCTCATAGCAGGGAGTCAGTAACTTTCTTCCATCGGGTACTCTGATGTGGTATCCTTCATTTGTAAAGTTTTTCAGGGTAGACCCCCCCCCCCCCGCTTTGTGAAAAAGCATTGAACAAACCATTCACTCATGATTACAACTGCCCTGGTTCTGTTTCTTCACATTGTCACATGACAGCATCTCTAAATCAAAGGATAGTCCCAGCATTGAGTAATTAAGGGGGGGGGGTTGGTAGACACCGAGCTTCCCAATGGTGGGGCACGTGAAATTGTTGCGACGGAGTGTAGAAGAACTTTGTCCTTCCTTCCCACTCCGGACCTAGCCGGTGTCATGCAGAACTCTTTTGGCTGTGTCTGCATGGGTCGTCATAAGGGGATTGGTTGCATGGTAGCCATCTTCCACCAATCAGCATGGCCCGCCCACAATGGCCATTGGTAGGTTCTGCAGTTACCAGTGGCATTGTGATGAAAGCCGTCCTGCCATTTTTAGGACATGCCCTTTTGAGGGTGTCAGTACTTTTTTCCTGTGTCATGCAGTAGGAGAAACTGGGACCTATTTTTCCTTTTGTTTTGTTGGGGTTTTTTAAATGCTCCTCTAGAGTCGTCATGGCTGCATGCCTTCCCCCCCCATCAGTTTTCTTGTGTTCAAGGGCAAGTGAGGGCAGGT